TATATATATATGTATAGAATAATCGTCCGCTTTGTCCGCCACTGTTTTGTCATTGTCAAGATATATTTTAATAATTATCATTGTAAGCGTCGTCATCGGAGTACTACAGCTTTGCCATGTGAGCAAAATAAAAGCTTGATTTTTCGGTGTCTTCCGCCTCTCAGATTATTTTCGTCAAGCATCGTTATGCTGATGATCGCGTTGGCTCTGCATTTGTCATCACTACACGCCTTAGTGTTTCATCTATCTATTCTATCTATTCATTCTATCTATCTATCTATCTATCTATCTATCTATCTATCTATCTATCTATCTAGTTACCTATCTATCTATCTCTGTCTCCTTGCTATCTTTGTTTGTTTTATATCGTTTATCTGTCTGCTTATTCATGTATGTTGATTAATTTTTTCGCAAGGTATGTAAATAGTACGTCATTTACTTTTGTCATCGTACCTGTAGCTAGTCACTGTTGTGCTTGTTTAAGTTAGTTATATCTTGTCTTCTATTACCGGTGTTTGACGCGTACTCCGTACGCGATTTGTCCTATTAGACGGCAGAGAAATGATTGTATCATGTGATAATCTCTTTTTTCCGCTTGCTTTTTTCTGACAATCCACATCTACTGCAACTGGCCACAACGTTCGGCATTGCACAGACTAAAGGTGTTCGTTGACTGACTGATTAGTGAATTTCCTACACTTAAACTTCTAGTTCAAGCATGCTATAGTGAGCGACTCCGCTCGGAGCGCTAGCTATTGCGGTACAGACGCCCCCGGTAAATTTACTTTACGCCCATCTCGAGCTAGTTGGCAATAGGCGCCCCTCTTCGTGACACTGCGCCTTGTTCTACGCGACACACTCTTGTTGGGCGAAGTCTTCATCTCCCAATATGCAATAGCGTGAGCCACGATACGTTGGTATCGCACTGCACACAGTTTACAGCAGTAGACGTCATCCCCGCCTCTTTTTTATATCATCAATAAATGATTCAACGAAACAATCCACAGTGTCAGTCAGTTCTTGACTGATAGGTGAATCACAGAAAGCGGTCAGAGAACAATTTTAGCAACGGGAGTTGTTCTATTATGACTTAATTTTACTAATTTACAAGCGGTAATTAGGAAGTCAAGGATCGTATAGGTTCTAGATACGGGAGTTACTGTCATTGTTGCAAATAGAATGATTATTTTCGTTAATGTGTATGAATGCAAACAGAAAAGAGGTTAACAACCGATTTTGCAATTTATCTAAAAGTACTTTCCAGCTTTTTTTTTTTTTACGCGTCCGATTCCTGCCCTCTCTAGAACAGGTAGGAGTTGGGGATGTCAGGCGAGAAAAACAAAAGGCAAAAAATACATGGTTTTTGTACTCGTTACCGTTTTCTGCCTTTCCTTTTTCCCTTCTCCTTGTATCCTTTTCGCTCTTCCTTCGAACGACGACCTCTACGACTAATGCGGAATGAGCATTAACAGCGGGGCCTACAACGTTTCCGGCAATTGAATGGCACTCATATTATTTCATACACGTATAATGATAACAACAAAATAATCGATAACACAAACTGCAGTAACAATTGTTACACTGTAATGAAGACCGCATTATGTCTAAAGCGCGTAGCGACAGTGTAACTAGCGAGAGAATCGTCTGCTCGATTCTCTGCCTCGCGACACATTCGTGGACGTTGATAATTTCCGTACCCAGCTTTGTCCAAATCATGTTGAATTGATGCTATATATATTCTTGTCTCTACGCATCATTTTCCATGGCCGCTTTCGATATCTTCAATTATTATTGTTACTGATAGGTGAGGTTTTTGCGCTGGCTCTATTGTATGTTTGGCTCTTATGCTGGTGATTGTCTGCAACTTTTCTGCTTGTTTGTTTGTTTGTTTGTTTCCTGGATGTCGATACATTTCTCCGATTTCGTTCGTCGATGTTAATCACCTATCCCTATCCTAGTGTTCGTCGAATCGTTCGCTATCAGATCCCTTCCCCGTTGTTTTCAGCGTTTGTTTTTGTGTTATTATTAATATAATCATTCGTACAAATAATATCATCGTTGTTGCCGCATCGTGTCCTTATGGTTTCCCTTGCCGTGTAACGTTATCGTCACAACGGCCATTTTCATGATCTACGGCAACGTTCAATCCTCACCGTTATCCATCAACGATAGCATTATTTCTATTTTATGATTATCATCACAATCACCAATATGATCAATGACATAATCATTGTATTTTTATCATTATCATCGTCGTTCTATAAGAAGTGTTTCTATGTTCATTGACTTAAATATGTGGGCGGCGTTTAGCCGGGACGCCGTCAACGGCTATCCTGGCCCTCGATCACTATTTTGCCCCGTTGCCTTAGCTCGCCGCGTAATGTTGCCTGCTCGTCTCCTAAGTTATAGGTTCCGCGCGAGCTGAGCCGTGCTACTAGTTCGTCATTAAGTTTATTCGTCTACCTGCGGCCCTAACTTACACGACACGTCAGCAGCCCATGTGGCGATACTAATCTCCAAGGCATCGTTGTATCATAATAATAATAATAATAATAATAAGGTCAAGAAACAACAACACTTCTTCTTTCACCTGTTAATCCTTCTTTTTTTTTTTATCTTCCACAATGATTTTACGGCTTCCTTTAAATCTGTTTACCACTTTCCTCCTGTTCTAGCAGTTCATCCACCTGTTTGCTATAGCAACACGCTGTCCTCTTTCTGCCCTTCTATCTATCTATCCGTAACCTTCCCATATTACCCACGGCTACGTAGGGTGGCGTATCTACTCCGTGCTATATAGCATTTAGAGAGTACATTGTTTCTATAGACACTGGCGATCGACGAAGGACGGGTGCTTGATGCATTCGGACCTGATCAACGAAAAAGCAGTTGTGGATACTTGAGAGGTGTTCGAGGAAACGTTGAATTAGGAAAAGGAAGTGATATTACGTATAAGGGTAGCTCCCTAAATGATTATTGTAGGTCAAACTACATTGCTACACCGCCAACGATGTGGCAGATTTCAATGCACTTTTTGCAACAACAGTAGCCCTCCAGCAGAGCGATTTTCGTTCTCAGTCGCTTTTTATTAGCACTTTCTTAAGCTCTATTTTTCATTGCGACCTAACTTCTAAGTTCCTTTTTCTTCCTGTTTTTAATTATATCTTTTTATTCGCAACAACTCAGGGACGCTCCCTACAGCACATGATGTCATTGGGATCTTCATTTGACTTTTATGTTTAATATGTCGATGTGTTTGGCTTGTCTGCTCTCACACTCTCTCTCTCTCTCTCTCTCTCTCTCTCTCTCTCTCTCTCTCTCTCTCTCTATATATATATATATATATATATATATATATATATATATATATATATGGTATTTTTGTGTTCTGTTTTTGTCGCTGTCTATTCACTTATTCTGGTTCAACATTTTTCTTTGTTGTTCACTGTATGTTTGTTACGTTACGCCAATTTGTCTTCAATACCTCAACCTTTGGCGACCTCGCTGTTTAAACGCCTGGTAAGACCTTATCACAGCGCTTGTACAATCGCCAACATCACTTTCGATGTCTGATCGATTGTGACTGGCTGATATCGTCGATCTTCAGCCGGACGTCGCAACCACTATACACAACATACAACACACTCAATACATCCCATATATGTGAGAGCATATAGGTGATTATGTGTTTTATGTCTTTTAACGCTGCAACAAAGTATCTATGTATTTGTGCATTCAGAAACGTATATATGTGTATGATTAATATTAAGCCTCGTTCTGTTTTCAAATGAGGCTTCGTGGTTTATTTTTTTTCTTAAGAATTATACTCGCATTCATCATGTTCTTGCTATAGATTACTGGGGCATATGTATGCACTCGCTTTGCTGTGTGTTTACCATCATAAAAGGTAGCGTAATGCACGTCAAAGGCTTACGCCAGGACAACGCTAACCCGCCAGCAGGGAGTTAGAGTACCGTGTTTCCTATCCATTAGTAAACTGGGAGAAGCGGTAGCCAATTTCGACACGTTAACAAGCGACTACATTGAGAAATCAACAGAGGAGGACCCCAAGAGAAAAACGTGATGAAAAGCGTCTCTCGACAATGACATATTTACTGGGCGTATTCATTATTATTATTTTTATTATCAATAGAGGTAGTTTATAGGAGCTTCGCGTGACGACCGGGGGTAAATATTTGGAAATCCGCCTCGATCAATTTACCAGGATACGGTTTGAGTTGGGGGTATATGTCATTATGTAGGAGTAATATAGAGGAAAAGTTTACGAAACTGTTGGGGAAAAGGAGGGAAGTAATCTTTGGAGCTTCTTATGATTATTGTTCTCATCATCACCGTGATCACGGCCGTGGTCGTACCTTGCACAAACGAATCGTCCTCTGCTGGGGATTAACGCTTCTATAGATAATGTTGTCTCTATGTCATTATTTTTATCATCTCATTGAAATTGACCGCTGTCATCTAACAGATTATTTACCGTGTTCTCGTTTGAGTTTTTTTGCATGAACAGAGTCGTCATCACGACCGTTTTGTTTTATTTATTTGTTACTTCTTAATTTTTATTATTTTTATTATTGTTATTTTTTTTTCTTGTATGTTTTGCGCTTTTTTTTCGCTGGTCTGTATGTCATCATAAAATATATGAAGAGGCCATTTAAGAGAGAACGCTTAACACATGGATACGAAGCATCAGGGCTGCAATCCTGCGCCTCAATATTACCCGCGCTAGCAAATATTGCGGGAAGTTTTAAAACGACAAGAAGAAAACAGTGTTAATATTGACGCTCAATATACTCCTCAATTGTCGAGTAACTTCGGGTCGACGTATGACCGATGGTCAACCGACGCTGGATCTCCGCACAATACAATTGCGTGCGATAGAACGCATTGTTTTTGACCCTATCGTAACGATCCTGTTGTCTGATTTTCCGCATCTTCCCAAGCGCATCTGACGATGACACACGATTAGAGCATTTAAGAGCTTTCTTTCCGAACACGCAGGCTTTGGAGTCAAGAAGAGTGACTGCCTCCAAATGAAGTACCTCTCATATCCATACCTCTGTTCGGTTGGGCATAATCCACAACGAACGCCTATTCGATATCCCGTCGGAACCTTCATACACCATCTAGGTACGTAAGCTCCATCGTATATTGGATCCAGGACAATACTTGCGTTCTGTTCCGTTCAATAACAGCTCTTCCCCTTCTACGATTAAACTGTGACACCCGGTTTTGCCACAAGCTGAATTACAGCAGACGCCATTTTGCACCAACCAGGAACCATTGTCTACGATCGAGATGGTGCCTAACATATGGATTGCCTCGGATTTGGTTGGATTGGCGTCTTGGTAGGGTCCGCATGTTTCATAATAGCTATTTAGCTTCGTCGCCATCTATAGGCCTTAGTTTGCTTGCATAGGGCAGGGCAGGTATCTGCGGCCTTGTCGCCCCGTGGGACTGTCGTACGTCTTTAGGGTAACGCTAATTAATCTAGTAGCATGTACAGTATTTCCATCATCATCCTTATTATCATGAGTAGCATCAATTTCATTGCTTCGCGCGTATATCGTGTTCCCGCTGTCACATAAATTTCGTCTGCGACTGTTTACCTGCCTGCCTGCCTATCTGTCTTGTGTCAATCTTCTCCGTTTGTTTGTTTGTCCGTCCCGTTTTTTGTTTATAAAAATAATGGTGAGTTGCAGAACCGATCTCAGCTAGCGGTCTTAGAAAATGTTTTCCCTTGCGAACTTTACTGCTGCGTGCACAGATTAGAATATCTAACAAAATAAAGTACACTGACACATTGTTAGGGCATTGTACCTATACGTAGAGACGTGAATCTGCCTCGAAACGTACTTCGTCTAGTTTGCCTCCTTTTCCTGGCCCTTTTTCAGTAATTTTCATTTTGTAATTTCATGTTCACTCTTCCGTGTACCTTACCGCATTTTGAGCAGCAGTTAGAATATATAGAATCAATGGTGTACTCTACAACGAGTTTCTTCTGCATTATTTTGGCGTCATCTTCAGAGTTATTATTATTAGCATCAACATCTTTAGTAGACTCATGTTTTCTTCGTTTGAAATGATTTCCCTACGAGATCCGCCCGCGTGAACCCGAACCATGGTTGCTCCGCCACAACCAATCCTATTGATGCTGGTCACAATTTACCAGAACGGAGCGTACTTTTTTCTAGTTTGCAAGGTTCAAGCCAAATAATTAAATTGGTCATATTTTCATAGCCTAATATAGTAATGATGTCTGACCGCGGTTCCGGACACTGGACTCGAGTCATCTGCTGTGTGAGTTGTTCTAGGTATGTTTCTAAACAACTATTGGCTACGCCATTTGATTCTTCGTTATCATTAGTCGCGTCTCGGTTGCAATGTCTAAGCATGCGGATGCGGTGAACGCAGCATGGCTGACTCGTCATAGAGCTCGTATCGTATCAGGTGAAATCCACTATGTCACAGAATACAATTCAGACCAACAACAGCAGCAACTGCCCGTCTCTTAATAAATGTCGTTTTTGCAGTATGATTCGAAACCCTATGCAGGACACAAATAATGGTATGGATGTATGGGTCAATCATCAAGCGACGCTGGCGAACAGTCATCATATATTTCGTAGTTAACGTCATTGGTTGCGAACGCCAGATGGCAGAGCTGATTAACGCGGGCCTTTCACGCGGGCGAATGTAAACCTGCTTCTCACATTGAACGCCTGTTTTCATGTTCTATTTGTATGGTTGTCTGTCCTCTTGTTGGTTTGCACTTTTCCTCCGTCCGTTTGTCAATCCTGCGGTAGTCTGTTTCAGTCGCACAGCTCTATTGTCGTTGACGTCGTTGCGACCAACTTGCGAACAATACGCCAACGACGTATGTGACTGTATGTTTGACGGGCAGCTGTTGCTGTTGTTGTTGTTTAGAAGAGATCACAGTTAGCCGTCTTGAAGCTTATGAAGTCCAGCTTGCTGCTGAACCCTCCGAAGTCGGCGTTGACGCCCCCGATGAACTCGGCCGACTGCTTCCGGTCGAACTGCAGATGCAGCTGTTAGTGGGAAATTGCGACAGTTGTGAAAGGGATGATACGTATGGTGTATAATAGTAACCGCCATTGGTGAACTGGACGAAGGTGCCGGAAGCGAGGTCCAACGCTAACTGCTGAGGCGACCCGGTCGCTGTACCATTAGCAGCGCCACCACAGTTCGTCGCGACCGCTTGCTGCTGCTTGTTCGACGCTAGTAACATGTCCTCGTAGTAGGTTTGCGAGGCCAATTCATCGATGAGGTTGAGCGTCTGTCGCCGTTCGTGACCCATTAGACATACGGTGGACTCGTCAACTACTCGCTGTAGGATCATTAGATAGGCGTAACGGTTGGAGCGTTCTTCATCGCCGATGAAATGGTTTGTGAGGTAGGATTCGAGTTTGCGCCGCTGGTTGGCTAAGTCGGGAAAGTCGATAAAGAACCTTGAACACATATACCGTTCTAGCTGTTTCAGTTGTTCCTCCTTCGCAGGCTTATAGTCTCGCACGAGTAAGTGACAGTACTTAAACAGGCCTCCACCACGGATCTCCTCAGGCGCCCGGGTTGCAATCAGCTTCTTCGTCAGATGGTACAACGCTTCCTGATAATCTCCATAGACTGATTCCGCCACAACGGTGGGGTAAAAGTTATCCGACATAGTCATGTTCGAGCAATCGTAGAATAGCAGCAACGAGTCAAGGATAATCTGGAAGCTGTCCACACTAAATTCGAACTGACGGCGCATTTTGTCAACGAACTTAAGTTCGACGTTACGCCCGGCGGCATTCGATAGTGAGATCAGTGACCACCGGTCACCTTCGGTCACTTTGACCATTTTGTGAACGTACGCTTCCTTTAAGCTCGCTAGAGATATCCGATGTCGTCGGCTGCCTGTGCCCGCTCCATCGGGCAAGAACTCGAGTAACGACTCAAGTACAGCGCTCTTGACTTTCTCGAATGACTTCCCGCTGGTGAGATCAACCGTGAAGATTAGGTCGAGGTCGTTGTACGGTGAGTTCTCCGGTGCCAGCACATGCGAACCAGCGCCACCATTCATGCGAATGTCCCGAACGTGGATGCCGTTCTCATGTTCCAGTTTGCGTCGGACGACACGAACGAGATCCGAGAGTTTCACATCGAGTGTGGGGAAATGGCCGCGGCCGTTGATCGGCACAGACTCGTTCATCACCTGATCAAGACGACGAACCTGCTCATAGCTTAGGACCGCGAAACGTTGTCCGTCCTGACCGTCGTCCGCTAACATCTCGGAACCGTCCACCTGAAATCGTCCATTACCAAAGATAACAGTAACAAAAACGTTTAGTATATATTCATTGTTTGCATCTTTGCAGAAACTTTGCGTGTAAAAGTTACATCATATTGGCATACGTTGGGCTCCGCTATCCAGTATTACACATATTCTTACCCTTTTAATGCTCCTCGTCATGTTTCCTATGATAATTCAGCATAAATGAATGATGATGCATACGTTATTTACGATTGTGATGATGAACTGTGAAGAAATATGTTGTATGATTATTTAAATGGTTCCAGAGTTTCTGGATAATCTATCTTAACAAAACAGGACTTGTTCAAACGAGTCGCTCAGACTGAAGATAGCACACATCATTCTTAGATAATACGTACGTTTTTCTCGACAAAGGCTTTTCAGTGCAATGGTCCCGCAGGGGCAATAACCACTGCTTATTAAGGGTGTAGAAAATACACTGGCACCGATATTAGCTTAATAGCACAATCATGAGTATTTGATGCCATTTACGTTCTTCTTTCTTCTGCCAAGCTAAGTATATCTATAGAACTTCAAGAACATGCTATGTTTTGCAAAGGGGAACCTTGTATTTTCGCTTGTTTACAGTAAGGCTTTTCAACACTATCGTGATTATGAATCCCGTGCTAAAATAATCATAATAATCCAGGTATGTATGAACTGTGAAAACCGTTTTAAAATACATTTAAAGGCTCACATAATGCGCCTTAGATTATAACAGCAACTACAATACGTCCCCTGCTGTATTTAGCACTAGTCGGAAGTGTCCTTGCCATTGCGAAAATGACCTTCTTCTTTCTTGGCCGCGTGCTCCTTTCCTTTTCTCAAATACTATTTTTCTATTATTATTATTATTATTATTATTATTATGACGGTAAACTAGCACAGAAAACGCTTTTTATTTTCTGTGCAAATCTGGCTGTGTATCGAAAGACGTGGCTAGGGGCGGCCATTGTAGCGGGTGTACCGCTTCGACGTAGTCCTCTGTTCAAGTCTTCAACGAGATCAGTTTTTCTTCAGAGCCACCTGCCAGTCTCGAAGCGATCACTTTGAAATGGCTGTCTTTCACTCAAAGGGAACGAAGTACGCCTGTCGACTGTGACACGGATGCATATGGCAATCACCTGAGCAGACGCTGGCTAATAGCCTGTCTAATACTGCGGGGAGACGTCGAGGTTGCAAAAAACTGTCGCACAGACATGTCCAGCGCAGTCATCATTAGTATCTAAAAAAAAAAGAAGATTGCGTTTTCGAAGAGCCATTTACTTGTCACCGATCTAGATAGATCATCGGCGCTTGCAGCATCAGTGTGACCGATAGTTTTCTATCAGATCCTTTGTCGTTTCGTACGACAGAGGACGCCGACACGAATGACAACGACGGCAGCACTGAGCATGTTCACTTATGGCGCCGCGATAGGAGAGGGAACGAGGTGTTAGCTAATGAATGGATTGTGGGTAGCAATTGATACTCGTGACGCTGGATAAGGTGGCTTTTCGATACCGTTTTGTCCAATCTAAGGAGCGCGCAAACATTGCTATGTATCGAGCTAGTAAATAAACGCGACACGTACCTGTGTTGATCTATCAAAGATTTCGCTGCAGATTAACAAACTCTACTAGTGATCGATATAGACCATGAAAGACATCATAGACTATGTATGGATCGTTCTACAGTCTGATGGCGAGAAACAGTAAGCCCTATAGAAAGATTTTACGGCTAACACCGAAATTATAATTCGAAAACGTCGAGCTCAGAGATAGCCGCTGGCGTCGTTGTGGGCAACGGTAATTGCTGCGAACAAAAGAAAAAGTACAACACCATATATATAAGCCGCTTACTAGAGATAGTTTTAATCGCACCGTGAGTGCGCATATGCGTCTATATCGTCGCTCGTGGCCTTGCACTACTTCGAAAAAACGCAGCATGGACATCAGGTATTCCTTGACCTGTTCCCTTGTCCCTTGCCTAAGCAGCGTTACTGTGGCGAGCCAGTAGAACCCGTCGCAGCTGCTTGTTGCCTTCGTATTCGGCATTCGTCATTAAAACTATATTCTACCTACGGACTTACAATTTGAAGCTTTTATTGTCATTGTAGTTGTCTCGTTCTAGAAAACTGTATACTTTAAGAGAAAACAGCGTCTACGCTCTTGTTCTCTTGTCCTTAGGTTAGCTGCAGATCGTTTACATGACGCCGTCAAGAGACAGGACAACGTAAATAAATCACATTGCCGCGTCGAAGTAGCGTCTACGAATAGATCATAGAAGTAAATACATATGGAAATTTACCCGCAGCGGTGAACACGCGATAGGACTGCAGGACACCGGCAGCCGTCTTGATCCTGGAACACCCTTATAACAGCTGTCGGCGTCAACAGAAGTGCCAGTCCGCACAAAAGATATCAGAAAAAATTCTAGACTGAATTTTACAGACCGCACAGCGTCATTAAAAAGGCTTGCCGTCCTGCCTTTAGGCCGCTAAATAAGATGTAGATTTCTGATAAGGATATCGATGTCGGAACAGGCAGGGGGTAATAAGTGGCCATTGGCGGGGGTTAACCTTGCACTTGAACGACTGACTCAATTAACAACGCGTACACCCAGACACACACACTCACACGCGTATGTACGTAATGAGCTTTAAAGCTACCATTGGTCATACGGTCAAACAATGAATAGCAGGCGGCAGACATGAGAAGTAAGTAATGTTACATTTTTAGCGAAAAGGTTTACGACGCCGAAAAGTGGACGCGAGGATAATTAGGAAACTGTAGCTGTAAAAATGTAAAAGCCATTGCCTTTGTTTTATATTCTACTATGAAAATTGGCCGCCGCGAGATTAGCTGGCCTTCATCCTTATCTTCTGATGATTTTAATTCTTATCGCCTAAAAATTGTTCGCGTCATGACTCGTTTGGCGTGCTAGTATTTCTAAAATGTTGGTAGATTATACCGTTTAGCTGGCGCTCGGTAGCATTCGTAATGTTGACTTCAATTAAATACTACAAACATGTTAAAACTGCCAATTGCCGATAGCAACAAATCAAGTAGACGCGTTTACATATGTATGATCGAACTAGATGTTTCCACCTGCTGGCAGTCACTAGATAGCAGCTTTAATTGCGCCTTTTTTTTACCTTTCAAGCGCAAAGAGGATGCGATTGATTTGCAACTGATTCTCTGCAACTGATAGCTGGCTCAGCTAAGCGTTGCCGTATTTTCATAAAAATTACCTTACCAAAGACTTACAAACATTACACTCTGTTAAGCCGATCGCTTCCTTTCGTATTGCGTCTCTCTTCTAAGTTCTCGTTTGACGTCTCGCTCCCAATTCTCCTTGCACCTTCAGTAGAACCTCTTTTCCTTCGGTGAAGATTTCTGCCGCTGAAATCGTTTGCCCGCCACAACGATCGACACGGCTCTTCATGCGAAGCAGCGACGGAGGCTGTTCCCGTACATCTACTCGCGAGAAAAGAGCCCTCTGAAAAGGATCCATGATTCGTCCATCCGTTGGCCAGGCCAAATATACAGATAGCTTGCGTTACGCGTACGAGCGCACACAAAAGGCCTGTTGTTACAGGATGTAAATACAACTAGCCTTAATGAGTGGTGGCCGATCTTTCGCACCGCGCGTTTGCCTACCTAACGAAATCGTCTGGTCAGCGGTCGTCAATATCCAACACCTCGAAGAGCTACTGCTGCGATCTAACAAACGCCGTCTGTCGGAATAGTGCCTCAAAGGGAATTTCCCCTGCCCGCAGCTGCTATCGCCACCCTCGCAGCGGTCTTAGCAACAATAAGCGCGCACCGTCATCGCTCGTTATGGCTTTCGTTGCTGTTTTGAGCGTGGCCGTCGTTAAAATGTAGTGCGCGATAGCCGTAGGCCGATTGTTGACAGCCTGGCATCCAGCCAGACCGTTCCCTACTCAACAGACGACGCGTTACTCTATAGCCGTGTCACCATGGAGGCAATACCAGTATAGCAGTGAATAGGTAGACGTCAAACGCCAACAGGATTTGCTTGAATGGCGAAGACAAACAGACAGCATCGATGTGCTCACCGAAAGAGCGCCTGCATAGCCAACAATTGAGGACGGCAGAGGCAGCAGTGGCAGTAACAAATTCAAAACAACGAAATTTACTATTGGTCGCTGGGCTATATGAAAGAATCGCATTGGAAACGAAAACGGTGCATGGCTGAAGGCCCCTGTTCGCAGCCATTAGCTGACCTTGACCAGAAAACCTGATAAGTTGAAGTTTATTTGATCAGAAAGTAACGAGGAAAAAAACGAAAAAGATGTACGCCATTTAAGATCGAGCCAGATGACGAAGTCGCTGAAAACAACGATAACCACTGGACACTATCCTCGAACCGAAAATTCAGCGAAACTCCCCTTTATTCGTGACACGCAATCGCCTCCCCACGTGCTTCAACTTCTTTTCCACCAGACGTCGCCTCCTTCTCTCTTCCGATCAACAGCAGTCAGCCACGACTGACTGGGCGGGATGGCGTGATACTTTACGCTAACGTTAAACGTCTGCGGGTGTTCATTAACAGTAAGACGGAGTTTGAGAGACTCCCGAACGCTCGACCGACCAACCGATGGACTACACAAATGATATCGTCAACCTAATTAAGTTGGTGATTTTCTAACACTTGAAGCTTTCAGGTGTTACCTTCCCGATCGTAGATTTCAACAGCAGATATCCACAAATATAATCAGTAAACGCATTTTCGACCCCTTTGTAACTTTTACCCACCCGTTCAGTGGTTCACAGCGTCATTTGAGATGTCTAAGGAAGCGATAAACGATGGTTCTTCAAAATCGAATGCTTCTTTTTGTTTCGTCCGATTCAAGTGGTTTCGTACCGCTGTAACAGATCGTACATCGAACCCAGCACGAACTGCATAATGGGACTTGGAGGCGGGTCAGGGCCTTGATGCCGCTTCGCTTGGATCCATTGAATTGCCACCAGAAGCGGATGGGCAAA